TGTTATGTTATGTTATGTTATGTTATGTTATGTTATGTTATGTTATACAGAAGACACAACCCTCCTTGCTGAAACTGATGGGGACATAAAGCACTTGCTGCCGAAGGTTAAGGACTGCAGCCTTCAATATGGATTGAAACTCAACGTCAAGAAAACAAAGATTCTCACCACGGGGCCAATTGGCAGCATCACGATAGATGATAAAGAGACTGAGATTGCTGACAGCTTCAGTTTGCTTGGCTCCACAATCAAACTCTTGGCACTGGTAGTCAGGAAATTAAAAGATGAATTGCATTGGGAAAGTCTTCTGTCAGAGATCCCTCCAAAGTACTGAGAAGCAACAATGTCAGTCTGGAGTCTAAGGTGAGACTGATACAGTCCATGGTCTTTGCCATTACTTGTTATGTATCAGGGAGCTGGACAATGGTTAGGGATAATAGAAGGAGAATTGATACCTCTGAGGTTTGGTGCTGGAGAAGAGTATTGAATATACCATGGACTACTAGGAGAACAAACAAGTTATTCATGGAGAGGGTGAAGCCAGGCTGTTCCTTGGAGGCAAAGATTCTGAAGCTCCATCTTACATATTTTGGACATGTTACAAGGCAAGATCAGCTCTTGGAGAGGGACATCATGCTTGGGAGGGTGGAGCGGCAGCACAGGAGACGAAGACCCTCAACGAGATCGATTGATTCCATCACTCGGGTAATGGGGATAGGTGTGTCAGAGACAAGACTGTTAAGAGATAGAGCAGGGTTTAGGGCTTTTGTACATAAGATGACTATGAGTGGGATGACACATAATAACAACAACAATCACATCTAGACTCTAAGTATATTACATCATGAGTGTTTGAAAATCTGCTTTAGACCTCTGTGGGAGAAAAGTGGGCAATATCCTATTGTTCAGTTTACAACCTTGGAAAGTCAAAAAAGGGTCAGTTGTGAGTTGATTCTGACTTGGCAGCAATGAATAAGTGAGTGGTTTGGATACAACAGTTTCTATGAGGAAGAAGAACGGGCATTCTCTCTTCCCTTAGAGAGTTCAGTCATCCTTCTGGTGGCCTAGAAGTTG